TCTGTGACAAACAGTATGTTCTTCATGATCTCACACACAACTCAGGCTGTCAAGCTCCCTATCCATAAATCTGCTATCAAGCTGCCCATCATTATACAAACTCTGCATCCTTGTTCATGAAGACTGCAAGGGTGCTGGGTGTCTGGCTGGGGATGTTAGATGCATCTAGGGGAAAACAAGTGGCAGGTAATGGAAGACATGGTTGTTCATCTGGGAGTAATGCAACTTGAAGAAGTGACGTCAGTTGAATGTTGATTGTGAAATCAAGTCCCTGAAATTATAGCAACTTTTCACAAATATCCACTTGAAACATCTTCTGAGTGGCTATGCTGACACATACAGCCCACACTACGTCATCCAGAGTGGCCCATCAGAGAAAGAGTGTCCAATGAGTAGCAAGAAATTGCTTATTTCCAGGGCATAAAGGATTAACCCTCATTGAGATTTTGTGTTCAGATGTTTCTGAGCATCCCCAAGTAGAAGATAACAGCTGAAAGGCAAGCTGGATCTCCTGCTGGCATTTCAGAATAAAATCTGCCAAAATTTGTAGAGCAAACCAAAAAAGTGTGACGCAAAAATGTTGAAGAAGAGAAGAAAGTGAATAACCTTTTGTTCTTAACACAAGCAAGACCCGTATTTTATTTATTACATTGAACCAGGGTTGGTTTTGGACACATCTTTGAACATCGTTTTAGCATCCCAAGATGCTCCTCTGGCTGTGTGAGTTGAGTAGGGATTATGTTGATGGAGTTGATAAAACTGGAAGAAATCTCAGACAGACTTGCCATGCAGAGAGGAGGAGGAAATAAGGGAAATTACTTTAAAAATAAAAATATTGGAGTATCAACTTAAAAATTTGCTTTTTGGCTGATGTTTCTTCTGGGCATGCCTTGTCCCCTTGCTGAGGAAGCATGTTTGTATTGGAAATTAAACTGAAGCAAATTCCACAGGAAATTAGCTGCTGGCTTCACAGGCACTTTTCTGGATCTTTTTTGCTTTTTAAAACATCATCAGCTCACTTTTAGTCCTTCACGGTATGTCCAATGCTTTTCTGAATTATCTCAGTGAGATTTTCAAGTTATCCAGATATCCCAAGCTAAAAACAGAGAATTCTAAGGTTTGATTCCTGACAAAATGATGGGCTTGCTTTTTAGTTCACTCCCTTTCTCTGGAGTCCAAGGTGAGTAAAGAAGACGAAAATCTTGGTCAGCTCTATTTACCTGCTTAAGATTGAATCTGTGCTGGCAGGATTAGAAGTGAGCTCATAAGTGGTGGTGTAAATTCTGCTGAGGAATTGCACAGCCTGTGACTGCTTTGGTCACGGAAGTCAGTGGCAAAAATAAGAGATTAACTGTTTCTCAGTGTGGGTCATGTAACTATAATATTTCCATGACTCTGGATATAATTTTCTCTTTGGAAATGATGCAAACATTTAATTTTTCTCACCTACGTAATAGCACTTCCCTTCTGTTAGTAATAATGGATAAAAGCCAGGCTATTTTAATAGCCACTTATTTTTAATATCCCTTTATATAGTCCTCAAATAAAATAAAAATGTAACTCTTTGCACAGCCCTTGGTATATACATTTTCTTATGAGAGAACATACTTAAAATAAATTTAGTATCTTCAAAGTAGCTGAGGAATAGTTCAAAATTAATGTCAGGGCAATGTCAGGGATATAGCTGGGGAAAGTCAGGCTAACTGAGACCGGAGATCTGGCTGTCTATATCTGAATAAATCTCTGTCAGAGAAAGTGGGAAGGAAATATGTAAGAATTGCAGACATCTTGTGTTTAAATGTTTCCACAGAAGTCTAACTACGCTTGAAAGTTAATCTTTAATTCAGAGCATGGGAAATACCAAGGAATCATTTACATGGCCGCAGATCACTAGGGAAATGCAGTAGTTTGAATTCATAAATCACAGGCAAGCAAGGTTAACTGAACCTTTAGTCTCTTTTATCTCATTTTCAAGGGACTGTACATCTGTTACCTATTTTTTAAATGCTGGTGGTGATCAAAATGATGTATGGTGGGAAACATGTAACTCTGGGGTCTAGTAAGAGATTTTCTGTGACTATGCTTGAGTTCTCAAAAATCGAAGGCACTGGAACCCACAGGCAAAAGTTTTGCATATCATGGCACGCACTGCATCACCCAAATCTATTCTGAATATATATATATAATATATTCTGAATATAATGTGTTATATTATAAATATTTCAAGCTTAAAGAGGGTAGATTTAGTTAGATATAAGGAAAAAATCTTCTACAGTGAGGGTGGTGAGACACTGAAATAGGTTTACCAGTGATGTGATTGATATCCCAACCCTGGAGACTTTCAAGGCAAGACTGGATCAGGCGCTGGGCAACCTGATCTAGCTGTGGTGTCCCTGTTCATTGCAGATGAGTTGGACTAGATGGCCTTCCCTTCCAACTCTAAGGGTTTTATCACTTCATGATTCTGTAATTCAAACTCACTGACTACCTGCACATCATAGAGTCATCAAGAGAGGGCTGAAAATGGTAACTTCCCCCTAAACTGTAATCATTTTTACCATTTCTTCCTCTTTTTTTTTTTTTTTTTTTTTTTTTTTTTGAGTCAAGCAAATGCCTTCCTCTCTGTAGGCTCTAAAATGAGACACCTCGTGGGGAAGCTTGGAAAGTTTAATTAGCTGTGTTTTACCAATAATCACTGGTAAAGTAAGATCATCTTTACCAGACATGCTTCTGTAACACAAAAATATTTTTATTGTTAGGAAATTTAATAATGCGTTATCTATATGCAGCACATATATAGAATATGCCAGCATTATTTAATATCTTTGAAAGTTACTGGGGAGTGAGATTCCTTATTTTAATTTTCAGAATGTACTTCTGAGGAGCCTGTGCACTGTGTCAGCTGTGAGAGCCTCTCTCAAATTTTATTGAATTTTATGAAAATATGGAGTTTTTTCTCTGTAATTTGGTCCTTTCTGAGGCAGGAAGGGGAAAATCACTTTCCAATGGCTGTTGAGTCAGTTGTGGTTTTGAATAGAAGTCTGAGGTCCAAGAGACCAACTCTAGTCTGATTATGGTAGAAATCTGAATATAACTCAGCGTATGCATTGTGAATAGCTACAAATAACTTCTAGGCAGCAAGGGGTTACTGCTCTGAAAACAGATTACTCACCACCATCAGATTACTTGTGTAAATGGCTACCCAGGAGACACAATAAATGATTTAAGTCTATCCACTAGGCTCTTTTATTGCCCAAGGTTACATGAATGGACCCTACTTCCTAAGGACCCTTTTCACTATATTTTCAACAGTTTCTTTAGGATTTCTCTGACCAATTTCCTCTCCTAATAGGAGTTTACACAGTTCTCTGTGAGCCACAGGAAGTAAATTGAGTGGCTTGTGTTGGTTATCTACACCACTGGTAGCTGTGGGTTTTTTATCCATAGCATGTGCAGAAGGGGAGAAGGAAGGGATGCTCTCTGCCTGCTGCTCAAAGACACCCTACAAGGCAAACATCCTGAGATTGCCCCCACTGATAATGAAACATTGCTCACCGTCTGTAAAATGGGATTTAATTTTTGGCTTGATGAGGCTCCTCTACAGAGCATATAGAGATTTGCAAACACTTCTAGTGTTTGTATTACAAAACTACAGCAACTAGAGCTTGGCAAAGGGTATGGAAGAGATTTGTAGGATATAGAGGAGATTTATAGGATGGCAAGAAATGATGTCAACAACTCACAGCCAAATGCTCTCCTACTTATTTCTTACGAATGAAAATGCACACAGAGCTTCTGAAATAACATCCTTGGATGTTTCTATCTCCTGGCATATAAAGTGACATTCTACAGAGTTTAAGCACTGCAAAGCAGTGTGGGTCATTTGCTCGGAGAGCTATCATGTCTTCAGAACAAAAGATAAAACAGACAAATAGCCAAGTACAATATTATACCTCAACAACCTAAAAGCCAATCTCAAAGCTGAATGGAACAATGGAGAGCTTTTATTTCTCATATTTTAAAGAATAAAGCTCAGTGATTTCCTTTGAAAGCTATTCAGCATGCTCTCCTAAATCCTATTATAGCTTAACATGAAATGCATGTTTCCATAAGAACAACAGCAGCACCAGTCATCCTTTGTAGTCTGTCCTTTGTTGTGTTCTCTATCTATTCTTGTAGATTTTTCCACTCTAGTAAACCAATCACTAAACAAGAAGTGATAACATTTCAGCCAGAGCATGTGTTAAGTTGGTGCTGGAAATTCAGTTTGCTCCTGCTTGCTGCCTGAATCTTGACAAATTAAATAATTGTTCAAGAGGGTGTTTATAACATAAAGGAATGGTTATGATACTGTCCCAACATTTCCTGAATGTAAAATCTGTATCCAGCTACAGATATTTATCTGTATCTAATAGCAAAGATAGATTTAGTCTCTGCTTGCATGTATACACAAAATTCTTGCTGTTACCAAGATCGAAATGTACTGCAATGTATTCAGCCTGTGTGTCTTAAATCAGTTGAACACCAGCTCACTTTTTTAGAACCTGCACATCATGCATCATTTTTTTTAGAGTCTGCATGTACAGATCTAAATATAATATTTATTTAAGACATGACCAAGCCGGTGGGTGAGATATTTTATTTGATGAACACTGTTTAACTCAACTGACATTCAGCAGACTGTGAGGCATATTAATTCTTAGAAAGATGTATATTTTAGAAAAACTCAGACAAATTGAGAATAGAAAGAGCAAGATGTAAGATGCTTTTCCTTAATGTCTTGCCTAGAAAAAAAGGTGACTTTAATTATTTGCACTCTCTGAACCCAAAGGCACTGTGCCTTGCTCATAAATACAGGAATTTCAATTTTAGCACCTTCAGTCCTTTTAACTTCCACCACCATCTATCATGGAACTGAACTGAACCACCTCTTATTTAAAATGAAATCTAATGCAGCTGATGTTTTCAACTGGTTTTCCCTCTCGTTGTCTCTTAATCAGGTAACAGACATTAAAGAAAAACTAAAGCTCTCTAAAAAGTTTTGGTCAACATTCCCTTACACAATCTGCAAGGACGAGCGCGTGACAGCCGGCTCATCAAACGAGGAGGACTGCTGGAACGGCCACACCAAGGCAAGGTGAGGTGGAGCCTTTCCCACTGGATTCAATCCAAACTCCCACCAGGCACAAAGCAAAATCAGAAAACAGAGTATTTTACAAAACAGTTTGTAAGAGTGAAACAGAAATGGGGACAGCAAGTAATTGTCCACACGCAGCCTGCAGCTGAGATTATCTATTGTCAAGGTGCCATTAAAGCTGGAGTGTGAGTCACTGTAAACGCGCGCAGCGTGCCAGCATGTGAACACAGAAAATGTTCACTGGTTCAGCTCCAGAAGGATAATTTATACTGAGATTTCTGAGAGCTCTTTAGCTCCATTTAGCATCCCTGTGTTGGGACTGACAGCTTGTGAAGCAATTGCACTCTTGGGATGCCATACTGGGATGAAACAGAAAATTGGAATTTTGGCTCTACTGGCTATTGGCTGGCAGAGCTTAGGGTTATTTGCTGGGAAAAATAGAAAAAAAAAGAAAAGAAAAATGAAAAAGAAAAAAAAGAAGGAGAAGAAGAAGAAGAAAAATAGCCAGCACAGAATGAATGTAACAGTCATACTCTTCATTATCTTGTGCAGAAAGCTTGACCTTGTCTTAATTTGTCAGTGACACGGTAGTCATCTGCCCTTGTTAGCAATGACTTTTCAGTGAGTTTTAATTCTGAGGTTGCTTCAGCTCTGGCTGTGGCTGGGCTGGTGAGAGGGTCCCAGTGTGGATTTGTCAGTTGAAAGAGGAGATTTTCTGATCAACTGTGCTGAGAAACGGAGAGAGGAGAGACGGACCAGCTCAAGGACCATAGCAGGAGCAGGCAGGTTTCAGGTCTGCAGCAGTGCTCATGACTGAGGGGAGAAAGGAGGTATTGAGAAATTTGAGTATCCATGGTACCACACGTACCACATCAACATGCATTCATTAAGAAGTATGTATTGCTCTTTCTATAAATGAGCAGTTAAACAAACCTGGTGCTATCCCTCCTGCTTCCCATGACCAATGCTAGTATTCATACCATAACTGATCTATTCCTTTCAGCTCTCTTCTGTATCAAAGAGGCTAGCAAACACTCCAAGGTTTGGGGGAGATGAGTTTTAAGACTTCCATTCTCCTTTTGCAGTATTTATCTTATGAAAAGCCTGGTTAGTTTCATGGCAACTCCTCAGATTAATGTTCTGAAGCCATTCGGTACCTCTCTCCTATGCTGATAATCTTGATTAATTTAACACAAACATATCAGTGGATGTGGAATCACAGCTTCAGAGCATCACCTGACAACACAGTCTCAGCAGACCCAATCACAGCTCTTCAGTTTTCTATTTTGTATGCATTCACAAAGGAAATGTGTGATTATAGTCTTAGTAACAGAATTCAATAAATGCTTGAGGTGGAGGGAATAGTAATAAATCAGACAGATACTATAGGACTCCATGGCCTGTATATGAAATAATATTGAAAATGTAATTAGCTTGATATGCAAGATCGCCTTGGTGAACATTTACTGCAGCTTAAAGAAAAACGATAAATATTTCCCTACTCATACTGACTAGCATCTGATAGCAAATGCTAACTTGCAATAGCAAGGGTGGCAAAATCTGTCCATTGTGCATATTTCTATTTCTCTTCACTGTGTTACCTGTCAAAAGTACCCCTATGCTGTATGAAGAGTTGCATTTGGAGTTCTGGAGAGCATCACAGCAGCTCTTGATGGAAAAAAAAAAAAGAAGAAATTTAGTCACCTCCTATTTCCCCTAGACATTAGTACTAAAAAATGAGAAGACAACATGGTGTTGGTGACTGCTGGGAAAGGAGATTGTAGCTCATTGTTGATGAGATCCTGTGGCTGTACGAAGAAACTTTGAATTGCCAGATGCACATTGTGCTTCACATTTCATTTTACACATCACCTTTTGATGGTGCTTTAGCAGGAAAACAAGAGATCACAGAAAATTAAAGCAAGGCCTTCTCCTGAGAGAGGCATTGTGCCAAGGTCACTTGTGGTTATTGCAGTCCCCAGGTATCATTCTGCTGCCATGATTAATTTACAGTGACACCAGCAGGGGCTAAATGAAGTTTGCCAACTCACAGATAATCATAGGGTAACAGAGTGATCCATTATAGTGTTCTGGAAGGCTGCACTTGGCATGTTGCTGATCCTCTGTGAAGAGGGGTTTTAATGAGGTCACATCAGGTAGAAATCAGGTACTGTGGAAATGGGAACACATTAAACTCTTATTTTGGAAAATAATTTAAAAAAAAAATAGCTTCCTCTGATAAAGTGCCTTTGAGAGACGCCAAGCAGAGCTTCCCATCATATCTATATTCATAAAATAAACTTGAACATAATTTTATGTTTAAATAATGAATATCTTCTGCCAGCTGTACAGAGGCGAATTTTTTTAAAAGACATTTAGAATCTGAAATCATCACTACAACCAGACTTTGAAAATGTAGTGTTTTCCTATCTGCAAATAAATCTTTAGGAACAGCTGATAATTTCTTCAAAAATAATTGTTTCCTAGAAATTAAGGAATATTCCCAGGAATTAAGGAATTTGGGGTTTAGGAGGATTTACACCAAATCCCAGGTATTATCCCTTGAATAAACAAAGTGACTGTTACTGCAGTGAGAATGGTAACCAAATCTGCAACTGTTAAGATGCATGGGAGAAGAGCATCGAATGGCTTTGTCTACCTCAACCAACTGCTTTCAACCAACCCACATGAGAGATGGCGCTCAGGTCAACAATAAGTAGATAAGACAAAGTAATTGTGAACAGAAAAGACAGAGAAAGCTGGGGGAAAAAAAGGAACACTACCGTTTTCAGTTCTGAATTCAAAATTACAGGTTATTTCACCAAAATGAACACAGGACTGCATCTCAGCTGGCCTGAAATTTTCTCTTCTTGCTGCATGTGGGTGAGCACCTATTTCCAGCCTGGTGGATTCAGATGGGATGAAGCATTCACCTGTACAGTGCCTGTACTGGGAATGCCACTCCTTGCTCAACAGCAAAACTTGCAGTGAGAGTGAGGTGAAAGTGCTTTACTCAGATAGACAAAGCACCACAGCTGTAACTGTGAATAAACCACTTCTCTTGAGTGCAAAAACTGCCTATTAGCTGAAGGCCCAAATTTATTTTTTGTGGACTCTTCCTTCAAACAAAAACTGGCAGATGAATCATTATCTCCATCTCCTTTTGACTCCTCAAGCTTTGCTCCAACATGGAGAAGAAATTATTGAAAGAACACTGAAAACACCCTTTGAGCGCCTTCTGAGCAAGCAGAATCGGATGAGGATATCCAGTTAGCCACACAACCAATTTTCCACCACACTTATCTTTCCAGACCAGATGTGACTGCCTAACCCTATCCTTCCCAGGATAATCCTGTGCTGCATTTTGTTCTATATTCCCAATGGTTTGGGGCACCTGGAAAAAAAAAATGCCAGTACTGGCACAGTACTGCAGGTGTCTTTCAAAAAACAGGGCATCCCTCCTTTCCTGTTATTATTGTTTTGGATTGGGTGTTTTTGATAGCTAGGACTTTTATATATTGCCTGAAAGATTCATCAGTCATTTCTAGACTTTAAAAAGAGGAAGTAAATACTCTAAAACATTAAATGGATGTTAAAAAGAAAGGGACAGAGAGAAAGAGAAAGTGGTTTTAAATAGGTTTTGTGGTGCTCAGGTATGGTATGCCAGAAGGCATTTTCGTTGTGTCTGCTGAGACAAGCAAGAACAGCAGAAAGGCTAAGAGGAATAGAAAGCATTAATATTTTAGAAAACAATGTAGATTACACTAAACTCCTGACATAGCTGAGCAAGGAGCAAACGGCAGAAAACAAACAGCGTTATTCAAATTCTCTGCAGGCCAGGGGCTAAGAAAGCTGATTCTTTCTGTTTTCTAGGAGAATGCAAAGAGCAGATTTGGCTTCAGGTTGGCTTTCTTTTTTTTACATTAGGACATATAGTTCTTGTAACGGCCAGGCATACAAGGAGATCATTAACAAGAGCGGAAGCAACAATGAAGCTTAGAATTCACAGGGGTGTCTCCACTTACAGAACTGCAGCAAAAGCAGCTGTGCGCAACAACTTTGCCCAGCCAGCAACAAATCTTCTGTCAAGATGCAGTCCCAAGACAAGTCTTCCAATTCTGTGTGACTTAACCCTACCCCGCACACATCAAAATGCTTTTGTCAAAATTTGTGCTGTGCTGCTTCTCAGAGACTGTCACTCAAAAAACACCTTTGGGCTGCGTGTTTCTATATCCATACCAGTCCTTAAGAAAAGGGAAAACAATTCAAAGATATATACATTCAATATAGGCTTTTCTACTTTTTTTTTCCCCCTGAGGAAGCAGGTCAGCTAGTTCAGTAATGACAGCAGAACTCAGTTCCACATTCAGACATACAAATTCATACATTTAAATGTAGATGCCTATGGGTGAGCTTGCAGACAATAAGAAGTCAGTTGTGTTGCCCAAGCTAGAGCAGTGTGTAAGACAGGTTTGACACAGGAGACCACCTCCCAGAGGCAGGGCAATACCTGCTAGAGCATTTGAAAAAGTCACCATTGTTAAGGTGCCTGAACAGAGCCCCAGTATCTAGTCAGTATGGTCAGTGAAGCAGGTTCCAGCTGCCTAAACTCAGCTACCGTCATGTGAGATGCTGTCATGAAAACCTGTCATGAAGTTGGAAAATACAATGCTGGACCTACACTGTGTTCAAACCTTACTGGAGTGACAACAGGATACCAAGCAGTGTACCTCTTTTAGGTAAAGTAGAACTCAACGCTCAATTCACTTGACTAGAGAAATATTATTTTTGGTTCCCTAGACATCCAAGACCTCCCCTTCAAGGCTGTATAAATGATGTAGGATCTATGGGAAACTCTCGTCTTTCAGAGATGGTAATTGGAGAGGTGGAGAAATAACCAAGAGCGTCTCGAATTGTACCAGATGTCTATGTCTGCACAACTAAATCCCAGCAGATGAAATCTAACGAACTAGTCATCTAGCCAAAGACGTATGGGATCCCAACACCTGTCCCCACACCACTGATAAATATGCCTATGTTTGGTATTGACTAGATCTCGTGTTAACCAGATTGGATGAAACTGGGACTCCACTCATAAACACACAGCTGCATTTACACATACAAATTTTGATATCTACATAAAACTAAAGACTAGTCTTCAACCTAAATCTCCAATTTTTTTCCTCTTACACCCTTAATGCTTAAAGGCTCATTTGCCCAGAAATTAAAGTATCCACCTAACTTCTAAGTGATCACACAGTAACACATTTCTTGTGACACACACCCAGGATGTCTAACTTACCCACCAAGGTGAGGTGCACTGAGAACAGGAGAGGTGAACCATTCTCTCTGTCACCTGAGGAACACATCAAAGGTATAGATTTACTGGCCAGCTCCCATCCTTTCCCTACCATGTAAAACACTCAAAATCAAGGTGCATCCCTGCCTAAATACATTGTCCGTATTACTCATGCTGGATTATACTGTTCCATAACATAAAAACTTCTCTTAGCTATACTAACATGGTTTTAAAATGCCTGAAATTTGGTGAATTTACCTCAGGCTTGATGAACTGATCTGCATGATGCTCTCTGTAGAACTGTGTTAACACCCACCTCCCCTAAAAACAAACTTAGATAATAAAGCCTAGATTTAGATGCCTTATTTTATAGTTCAATGTAAGCCTTGATTATGTGGAAACTAAGCTTTCCATCACTTCTTATATTTTCCCTATTTAAAAGAAAGTTTTGTCTTATGGATCTATCGTAATGAAGCTGTTGATTTTGTGTCTCTAGCATCTCATATAAAACCATGATATGCATTTTCAAATAAGTTGTAAAATGTCTTTTTATGTATAATTTATTGGAGTTTTTCCTATGAAAGAAATTGCAGCTCCTCCATGTCGGAAACATTCTAGGGATCTTCAGATCCTGAACTGGATACCGGCAAAGAGATGACAGATTGAATTTCTTTCTACAATCTAATGGTTGGTACATTTAAATTTAGACGATCCTCTGAATGACATCAGAACCACACTAATCACAGTGCAGAATATAAACCTCAGTAAAAAACACTCTCTAAAACTAGCTCATATTCTTTCCAAATAAAAAGCTTACTTAAGAAGTCAGTACATTCTTATTTTATTTTTTACAGCAAGATGAGGAAATCAAACATAAATTAGTTAAAGAAAGCCTATGAACTGCAGTTGAGAGTTAGCCATAACTTCTCATGGACTTTATGCAATAGAGAGCAGATAGACTATACTATTAAACAAAGAAAGCAATCCACAAAAATGACCAGTGATTTCAAATCAATTTAGCTAGCAGTTATGACAGTTGCCTTTGACAAGATACTGGACATCTTCTCCAAGCCAGCAGGGCAATTTTTATATTCTTACTTTTTTAATCAACTGCACCTTGAAGTCACTGATTTACTTCTAGGCTGAGCAATTTATCTACAACAGCCATTTCATTTGTAGAGATGTGTGACGGATGGAGATGCTGTTTCTCTGCAGCCCGGAGCTTCCCTGAACGCCAAGGTCTCCATCCTGCTGCCTTTGGGTATCTCTGCAGAATTCTTTCCAATTTCTATCTTTGGTGATTCATAATGCTGCGGTCTGCATTCTTCTACACTAGAGGAAGTGGCTCTGTATTCTCACTGTACTTAAGTCTGTACCCCAGGAGTCTGGATGGGATCCCTGCAGCATTGTTTTTTCTTGTTATGGTACTACTGAAACATCAGGAAATGCATTTCAAGGTTAGGCATTTTTGGCAGTCATGTTTTGTTCTTCTGTGTTCATACTCCCCTCAAGATTACTCTCTTGTAAGCTTTCAAAGGCCACTGGTGACAGATGAGTCTCATCTTGCGATGCGAGTACCTATTACAGTGAGACTAAACCCTTCCCTGGCTCAGCAAAGCAGTCATCATTTTGTGAATCACCAGAAGAAATACAAAAGTGATTTTCCCTTAAGCACAACTTCAGCAGGGAAAGTCCTTTCTTTTTTCTTACTTTCAGATACGCTTTTAAGGAATACATTTATTTTCCGAAGCCGGAACAACAAAACACAGACACCAGAGCCAAATTTGAATATGGATACAGAGAACTGGGTTGGCATCAGTGTGATGAAGTAAAATACTTTTAAAACTACATTCGGTACCAGACATCATGAAATTTTGCCATTAGTAGGCTAGACTGTGTTAGATACCCACAGGACGTCTCCCACAGACATCAGTAGACTAGCCTGTTTTGTTAGCTAATTACAAAGTGGATCATAACCTGACAATGAACAAAGCGTAGATCTACCCCAAATCCCTTGCAACCTAAATATGAGGCAAAGAATACTAAAAAAAAAAGACAGAGAAGAGAGAACAGGGAAGCGGCAATACAGTATTTTCTCAGGATACCACACCAGCACAGAGAATAATGCCAGTCCTTTTTCAGCCCAGCTGTCGTAAAATGCACAGATAATTTTTAACAGGGAATCAAAGCAGGAAATAAGCTAGCTTTGCAAATGCCTATAAGGACAGTTTCCTAAGTGCAGAGAACAGCAGGAGACAAAGTGTGCATATTTAACAAAAGAAGATGAAGACTTTTACCGTAGGAATAATGGTCTGATTTTTGTGGGAGAGAGAGATCTGCAAAAGCGCACTTGGTGCCTGTGAGCAGCATTAGACTGCATTAGCCAAGGTCATAGAAGGGAATGCTGCAGTAATCAAGGAACGACAAGCTAGGAGCCTGAATAAAATTTCAGATGTGTTGATGGATAGTAAATGCCATGCCTTAAATATGTTATGCACAAAGTGTGTGGGATAAGAAAGCACAGCCTGTTTATAAAGAACACGGACCAAATGGAAGAGAATATTGGAGACTGGTAAGTTCATGCCACCATTTGTGGGTCTGGATGTCAGATAGGCTGGATATGATGTTCACTATAGTCAAAAAAGGGATGCAAGGATGGACTGGTGAAGAAAATGAATTAGGTGCTTCAGTTAAATGAGGAAGGCAATAAAGCCTCAAGATTGGCTTCTGAACTGTCCCAGAAAAAGGAATTCAGAATTTTATGCACTAAGAAATAAAAGCAGCAGAATGCACTGTTGAATACTTAACTTAGTGTACTACTGTTCATGTCAGTACAGCAGTGTGTTGACTTACTGCTGGCTGGTGAATCTCTTCTATGGATTACAGTCAGTGCACGTGCTGAGGAGTATGTGAATAGTTATGAGTTTGGATAGCTTAAATCCTCTCTGCTTTCCACGCAGCCAGGATACTAAAAAGAGCCTTTAGAGTCTGTAAAATTAAAAACGTATTTTTAACATGGTTTCACTGGAGCCATTTAAGAACTGCGTAATCATTGTCAGTGTCAAATTGCTTAGCACAGCGTTTACTGTACAGTCCTTATTTTGACAAGTACTGCATTTAAACTAATTATGCATCTTGTTTTATAGATACTTGCCTGAGATTATGAATGATGGCCTGACCAACCAGATCAACAATCCAGAAGTAGATGTGGACATCACAAGGCCAGACACCTTCATTCGGCAACAAATCATGGCCTTACGTGTCATGACAAATAAACTGAAGAATGCATATAATGGAAATGATGTCAACTTCCAGGACACTAGTAAGAAACCATTAGCTCTCCTTAAATAAATGTAATTTTCAAATGTATTCATAAATCAGTTCCATTTGAACAGTTTTTCCTTGGAGTTTGTGCTTTCTGCTGATGACAACATACAAAAAATCTTCTGTCCCATTTGTTTCTTTTTCTTTTCTTGCTTATCATCATTTCAAATGCATCAAGACACTGAGGGCTTTCCATTACGCCAGCAGTCTGCTCCTTTTTCAAAAGGGCATTTCAGCACATTAAGTGCCTAATTAGGTGCATCCATCATGGTAGCTTTCATTTGGATGCTTTGCTGAATGAAATTTACCATCCACACACTACACCAAGGTGTTCATCCCCACCAGGGCACTGGGTGGGACAAGAATGGAGAAAGGACAACCATTTCAACCCAAGGCACTCACCCTGTTTTCCTCACTCCCTTGTACCAGGTGATGAGACAAGTGGCTCTGGCAGTGGAAGCGGCTGTACAGATGACATCTGTCCCACTGAGTTTGATTTCATCATGACTGAAGCACCGCCTGTTGACTCAGACAGGAGGGAGGTGGAGGCTTCGGCCACACGACCCAGCCAGTCACTGCAGACATTGCTCTTCGCCTTCATCAGCCTCGTACTGCAGAGACAATGGAGATAATCTTGAAACTGATCGGAAAAACTGTGTTTTAGCTACAGAAACAGTCAACTTCCTTCTTTTCTTACACTCTTGGACAATGGACCATGCCACAAACACTTGCAGTTTTGTATGCGAAGAGAGCAGTACTGCAACCTGCTTCCCTTTTTGTTTTCCCAAAGAGCACCAGGTGCCAGACTGAACTGCTTCCTGTTTTTTGCAGATATCTCTGAAGAGAATATCCACTCTTGAGAGAATTCTTTCTCAGATCTTTATTACAGGAGACTTTCTAAGCTTCATTTCCTTTTATGCTGCAGAAGTAAAAAGATCTTACCGTGAATGTTTTTTTTTCCCTAATGAAAAAAAAAAAAGGGAGGGGTGGGGGGAAGAAACCAATGAAGCAGTTTTCTTTCTGAGTTGGATCTAACTCTAGCTGCTCCCTGTAAGTCTGAAAAATCAACAGAACAAAAGACAAGAATGAAAAAAATGCAACCACTCTTCACTGACAGCCAGATTTCCTTTAGGGACTTCTGTAGAATAATTCAGGTCATCAGAATGATCATTGCTATAAAGAGGCAGTCTGGATTTTTTTCCAACACAAGAGTTTGTCTCAACGATGAATGTCTTGCAATCCACCTGCCAACCACTTCAGATTGGTATGAAGGTAGAGAAGCTGAAAAGCAAGTTCTTCTTTTAGTATGATAGTAACTCCGCTATCTTCAGAATATCATGTTACAGTTCCCCAGGATTTAAATCCTAATGCCCAGTAAAAAAAGAAAAAGAGTAGTAGCATGATTTTGCCTAGCTTCTTTTAGTGTTTATTCATTTATGCAATTGGCACGAGGATTTCCACTTAGCTCACCAAGCATTACCACGGTGGTTATGCTAAACAACTCTCCTGACAAATCTCCCCTCAAGGGTTTGGGCAGAAAATAGTCTCTTGTGATAAAATCTCATTCCTTTCATCACTGTTCTGACATCAATTAGGGCTTTCTGCTACTATGTTTATTATCCTACCAAGATGGTAGTTCTCTAATTGACTAACAATGGCGACCAGATCAATAGAGTATTTCACATCTAACTACATCTTTCATATCACTTAATTTCAGTATCACAGGGATTTATTCTACAACTTTCTGAACAAACAAATATATAGTACTGACATGGAGATTTCTTTCACTTTTTTAGTCTTAGTATGATCATCTATTTTTATATATATAAATATATATAAATCGCAGATTTTAACTTCTTAATTACAAGCTCAGGGTTGACACTTCTTTGTGAAAAAAAATATGTTTGGTCAACCAGCTCTTCTGCTTTTGTGCTACTCTGAAAAGCAACCCTTTAATGACTGGTCAGCACGAAAATCAAAGAAGAGAATTTTTTACATATCCAGTTGTCCATTTCTTAACAGATTTGCAGAGTGGGGGAGAAAATCTCTCTCGTCTCTATGTAATTGTGTGAGCATGGAAATTTGTGTGATAGGCCTAGAGAAAGACAGAGATGTTATTTGTGATGGCAAATGTACTCTCAGATTCCTCAAGGATACATTGCTTTAATAATCACTGCCTGAATGGCTGTTGTTCTGGCTGGAGTTTCCTTGATTTTTATCTGATTGCAAGACCTGAAATGGAAGCTATTTAAATCCTGGACAAATGAGAGTAAACAGTTAGACATCAAAGATTTCCCTCCTCCATCAGCTGCAGAAAAAGAGCTTCTGTGACAATTCTATGTGGTGCTGAAAAGATTTTGCAGAAGCTTTTTTTCTGATTCTTTTGGTGACTCTAGAAATGGTATAGATAAATTATGGAAATACTGTAAAGCCAGCCAACCACATTACAATTTAACAGCAGAGCAGGTAGATCATAACCATTGCAGTCTCTTTTTCTTGTCAAATTATAATTAGATATCGATTTAGGCATGACATTAAAGTAGAAAACACATAGCACATGAGGATAAAGGATGCTTAAGCACTTTTAACAAAAAATATTTACAAACTAACTGTATAGTATGTCTAATAAAAATGCGTAGGTTTTGAGCCACTCATAATCTATTCTTATTTTTTCTAATTTGTTTGCTTTACAGTATAATGATCTATTCTTCTCTGCCCAGTTTAGTGTGCAAGAGTAACTGGAATATGTTCAGACCAAGCATGTTTTACACCTGACTTAGCATTGTTGCTTGCCACTCTGATAGCTCACTCTAGAGAGGATCTCATGATTCAGCACTCAATGCTTTCAGAAAGTTAAACAGTATTAAAACCAATTCTTACAAGCATTTGTTTTGTTTTGTTTTGTTTTGTTTGTTGACTGTTGTATAGCAGAGGATCCAAGCAGAGAATCTTCCTTTTTGTTTTTCCTGAACTTGCATATCATCTACAAAGAGGGAGTTCTTTGGTCCCTCCGTATCTACCAATGTACACATCCTTTTCATGCCTTTAATCCACTACAACCTTGTTTTATTGTCCCACTGTGTTCTTATTCAGTAGAAACTGATACTATTTCCATCTGATTATCCTTATTCTTGAAGTTTATCCACAGATAATGAAATCCAGCTGCTAAGGCATTTCCTCCACTGTGGCTTCTCCACATTGTGATGTGGAGATTAACATTAAGATGCTGATGGATTCCTAGGGTCTTTGTGTGAACTTTAGGTTTAGGCAACCTGATGACCAAACTGGCTATCCATTGTACTTCCACCTATTTGTAGACCTTGGATCATGTGAAGGAGTAAAAGGAATCACCAAGAACAAGGGGCTTTGCTGAAGTCTGCTCTCAGTGGGGGAGGAAGTAAATGTTCTAGCAATCAGTTTGTAGGAAACGCCCTGCTCTACTTGCACTGCATCTTACAAACTGCTGATGAAACAACAGGCCCAGTTAATCTCTCCTGAAATGTGATTGTCTTGTGGGAGTTCTGTCAGAAATGTACGTCTTCCTTATTATTTCTCTGCTTATTTTCCTACTATGCATGGTGATATCTTGTCAGGAGATGGAGATCCCTTTGCATGAGGTATTAGGCATACATTTCTTTAATAGTCCCAGAAGGCTGAATTCTCTCTTTATGCACTGCATTTTCCTGAGATTAAGAGAGCTATTAAATCTACAGAGCAAATGAAATTGGGAAGAAAGGAAAGAAAAGAAAAAACAGTAATTTTCATAAATGTGAGAATCTACATAATTTCCAGTGCTTCTGTTTGCACCTCCTTTACATCCAATAACTCTTCTTTCAAGGTAATTTTTTCAGTGTGCTGCAATTCAAATATTTCTCTTCTGCCAACAGCTGATAAAGTAAGGAATAATAAAGAAGACAATCACCAGCATAAGAAAGAGGATTCTAGTTCTAAGGGAAAATACTTTAACTGCATAACCCCTTTATGTGGTGCAACCCAGTTATTGCCATTTTATGTTCTTTTAAGGTGGAGGCTCTTAAAAAATTAGATGCAACAAATCATATAACCAGTGCTAGAGATCTTTGTATTAATATTAATTAAAGCCATTTTGCATTGTCCCCAAAATTTTAGTGTTTAGTATACAGCAGATTTTTCTATTCATGCCTCAGTACACACTTCTGTAACTGCAGTGCAGACTGTTTGGGGTCTGGCTGTATCTCAAGCATTTCAGAAATGCAGTTGGAAAGGGAGGGTAGAAATTTCCTACTGAACAGTAATAACAGTAATAACCTGTGCCTAAGGGTTCTGGTAAGGGCTGATCTATCCCAGTTCCCTAAAAGCATCAGAGAGCTCTGTCCAGAGAAAGCTCCCAAAATCTGAGTGTCATTCATACACATCGTCCCAATTCTGTGTGATTTTAGGAAGCATTGTTACAGCTGTGCCTTCCCACAGCTGTGTGAACCAGTTTGAGCTGCTTCCATGTAAGATGGCTACGAGCTAGAGCTGCTGCTGGGAGATGGGCTGCATGAAGTGTCTCAATGGGCAGCAGTTGCCTTCAGTTTACTAACTGACCCTGAATCATTACCAAATGTATCTATACTTATTCACCAAGACTTTTTTTATTACTTCAACGTGACAAAATAAATTACAGCACTGATGCGAGTTGTGGTTTCTGTTTTTAATTCACGTCCTAAGATAAGCCATCAAAAATGAATGCAGAAAATTATTCTGATGTGAAAATCAGGTTTCTGCAGGTTTCATTATGGAAGCAAACATCTGGATATACTTCCGATACTAAGAATAAACTCACATTTCTAAAACTGCTAGTATTTATTTATGAAGCCACAGGTTTTCAAACTTGCTCTCTGAGAATCAAGAGAGTTAACATCGTGTAGCATTGCAAAACCCCTAATTTCGAAGGGAAGCTGAAAGGCTGAGTCACAGTTATGGATTTAAGAGTATGATGTCAAAATGCGATAGAAATGTAATGTATACTTCCAAGAAAATTAAGGCAGGTGATGCAGCAAATAAGGCAGTGTTTCCATTCCAGCTACTCATACTGGCTGTGATGACTGCATTAATGTGATATTATGACTCTTGAAAAAATGGTGATAAAGACCCTTAGCGCTGCAGTAATATGGTGTGTGAAAGAAAAACAGTATGACTTTAACTCTTTTCTCATCCATTAGAAAGCACAGGAGACCTAAAGGAGAACAAAGAACTTTTATACTGACTTTAAAAATAAACTTCTAGTATCAGGCAAATGAGATGATCTCAAATTTATTATGTCAGAATATTTTCCAGTCCACTATATTCAAATTTGTTGAACAATGTAAGTAAGCAGTCACTTACAGGCTATTTGCCAACATAACTTGAACATGAAGCATTTGTTACCAGTACTTACTACTTCTCTACTGAAATGACTACATAGTTTACAATTCTGATTGTGTATCCCATGTGACTGTCTAGAAAACTGTGTATTGTTTGAGTGAAATCACATCTCTGCTAAGGAAAAATGAGAGTTTTGTCATTGATTTCAGAAAAATATTTTCGCTTTAATCAGGCTGAGAAAATAAGTCCTTATTATGGAAGTTACTCATATTTAATGTCCTTCTGACTTTCAGTAAGACAACAACATTATCCATATAAAGTCGACATTATTGTCTTCACCTTGTGTGTCCAAGTTTTACTTCAAAGCAGTTGCAGTTCATGCCCATCTTCCCCAGAGCTGAGATCTCTATACTGCCGAGAAGGTGAAGAAAGTCACATGGATTTGTCCATAGCTTGAAGTCTACATCATTAAATCAAACCAGTTCAAAAAAAAAAAAAAGGGGTCAGTGTTCCAAACAGCTCTCATTTCAACTCACTTTTAATTCTATAGCATTGGTACTTAACAGTGCAACATGGATGAAAGGTTCTTGTTTCATGTTTCACTGGATTTATTTTTTTTCTTCTTGCTTTTCCTCCTTTATTCTGGCACCAGGAAATCTGTGAGACTTTGTGCTTCGTGCTTTAAGTGCTAGGCAGTATCTAGTGGTGTCATTTGTTTATCAAACTAAGAACAGATGCCTTAGCAAAAGAAGTTGTCTTTTCCTTTGGGAGAGATGAGGAAAAGACAGTATTGATATCAAAAAGAAGGTACAGAATGGCAACTGTTTATCTTGGATATAGTGAAGTGCCTTCTGTCAATAACTCAGAGGATCTTTAAATGCCAGATCTTCAGGGATGATAAATCCACTTCGTCTGAAAGAGAAAAAAAGAAGTACAACTTTATTTAGTAGAAATATATATGTTGCAACTGAAGAATGAGTGAGAGGAGCAAAGACTTCACAGGAATGCCAGGCAGATAGCTGACCATAGGAGGACTAACAATAATAGAGACCGGGAGTCACACTAAGGATTTCTAGTACTCTTCACTTCTGTCCAGTTCTTTTGATCAACTGTCAGTGAATTTTGTGTAATTCTAACCATCCATTTGTGTACGTTGCAAAGATCCAAAAGCAGCTTTACAGATCAATGATGTTTCTACAAGAACTTTATCTCCCTCTTCATTGTTTCCAGATACTTTACCTACTTATCTTTCAGAGCATGAGGAAGAATTTGCTACCTAAAGCAGTTTTCTGTGTCTTTCTTATGTCTTACACAAAAAATATCAATTATTTCGTAACAAGAGTCCTTCACATTCTCACAAAAATAACTTGATTCCACTACACATCTAGTGTGTTTTCTTATCAAGATGACCCTTATGTGGTTTTAGGAGAAATCCAGTTCTACTAGTTAAACCAAGATTTAGCAGAGAGTTCCCAAGTACCCCAAACACAAGGTTATAGAAGAGCTTTGGTGGTGTTTTTCTCTGCTCCTCACTCTCCACCTTAAAGCATCATTCTGGCCCAGGACTGACATTTGTTACAGTTAGACTTGATGATCTTGAAGGTTGTTTCCAACCTGAGCAATGCTATGATTCTATGATTCCCATCTGGCTCTCCCGACTCCTCACGCCACACATCCTTTTCTGTCTTTGAGTTACCAGCAGCCCTATGACCATTTTCTTCTCCAGGTTGAGCCCCTTTCAGCCATTTTAACTCAATGAATTTTCTGTCTCTCTTCCCCAGAGCCTTTGGTAGAATCTTCTATGCTTTTGGAATAATGCCAAGCTGCTCTTTTCTTTTCTTTTCTTTTCTTTTCTTTTCTTTTCTTTTCTTTTCTTTTCTTTTCTTTTCTTTTCTTTTCTTTTCTTTTCTTTTCTTTTCTTTTCTTTTCTTTTCTTTTCTTTTCTACTCTTCTCTTTTCTTTTCTTCTCTTTTCTTTTCTTTTCTTTTCATGGACAGAGAATGTAGCAACAAAGAGATTTGATCCACTTCTTTTTGTACTTGCTGTTATTTTGGGTTTTTTTGTTTCTTTTGTTTTTCATAGGGCTTTTTTTGTTTTTTGTCTATCAGAATCTACCTTTAGCTTTTATTCTCTGTTCTAAGCATATGCTCAAGGATATGCTCTTGACCATCCTGATGATCATAAATTCTGATGAACCTTTTTTCAATTGAATATAACATTACAGCTTATAGACTAATGTGATTCACTCATTTAATTGTGGCAAAACATTGTGTCTTCCCTGTAGCTATAGAATATAATTTGTGCATCATTGTTTTCTGCTGTGCTGATGAGCCAACAAAGCCAGTGGCAAGAAATTTATGGATTTTCTATATCAGGATTATCTTAACAGATAGCACCATCAGGAAAATTTCTTGTCAGTTCTGTAAGTGTTTGTTTTGAGGTTTGGTGCTGGATTTTTTTTTTCCTCTTATTTTACTTAAACATTTTGAGCTTCATTTGATTTATTTTCATATTGGCTGCATGTACATATATATATATATTTATCATATGCATGTAAGATAGCTATAGAGAAACTGTTACAGTCTTTAGAAAGCACAGACAAAAATTAAGTAGTCAGTCTATCTTAATCTTCTTGCACAAACTCAGGAGTCATGAATATTCTCAAAAATCTGCCCAAAGAGAAATTGGATGAGTTTAGCTCTCAGCTTCCTTCTATTAGTTGAGCGTGAGACAGGAAAGATATTTTGCAAATCATCTGTCAATGTATGTGTGCATGGGAAGGCAGGAAAAGGAGCGCTTACATCTCCAAAATATTTTAAAGATTCTTTGCAGGTTTTCCTAATCTGAAAACAAATTTACAAATGAAGAGTTTCCATTCAGGTGTTCAGGGATCTCAAACAAATTAAATGATGAACTTTTATATATGCACTCCTTCCAGGTTACTTTGCTTTGTTGGTAAGCAATTTTATTACATTTAGTAAATTCAAAGAAAGCATTTTATTTAAATAGGTCAGATGTCTTTATTTTTGTTCCAATTGACATTTATAGTTTCTTGTTAAACTTTTACGATTCCAGACATATGAACATTGCTTGAAAGCATGCAAATTGTTAGCTCTGGATTTGATGCTGTATTTCTAGATTAGTATTTAAGATAGTTAAATGTGAGTTGCTGACGAGGATGTTCAAATGCAAGTCAAGTTTAGAATAAAATCAGATTTACACAGAAACAGGGCTGAGTAAAGAAAATTTCATTTAATATTAAGCCTACTTTTCTACAGATCCAATTTTAACATTTTGGCATAATCTGAGGCTAAATAAACAATTAAATTTTAAAAGATCATACCTGAAGCTAAATGATATATCTTCTGTTTTACAAGAGTTCCAGTCAGAGTGAAAGCAAAATCCCAAGTTCTCCCATTTCCAAATACTACTTCAAATGTTTCATCATTTAGCAGCACACAGCAGTTTACATATATATAGCATATATATATATAGTGTAATGAGGCAGAGTTTGAACTTTCAAGGAAAAGATTCTTCATGGCTTTGTAACTTCAGAGAAGTAATGTACTATGGACAGAATCAAAAATTCATACTGTTGATATACAGTTGTTCTGATATATTTTTGAGATATGTTTCACAGAACCCAGTATTTTTTGTGTAAAATGCCTTAAGTCACTTTCTGTAGGGCTAATGCAATTGAATTTTTTTCTGTATATAGCTTTTTATAATAATTACTTCGGATGCAACACTAGACATTTCTTTCAACTACAATCTTATACAGCCTTACGATTACTATGATACACAGATTATGAAAGCTCTGCATTATTATCTGTAAAGGCACTTTCAATCCAATTTAAGACTTAGAACTTGGAAGCAAGAACGTGTGACAGTGCCAAGAGCACAAATGCCTTTCTGATGGATAACCTTTCCGTTCTCTCAGGCTTGAAATCTTTTCCCACCCAATTTTTCTCCTTTCACCCCATCAGTTTTCATGAAAACTGGCTCTGTCTTAGGGCCTAAGGTCATCTCATCTACCACTAGGCATTTCAGGGAGCGCAGCATTTGGAAGGGCTGTCTTTCTAGACCTCCACAGTTAGTCCAAAGATATGGGCATCTCTGTAGCTGAGCTGGAGCTTGTCTATTCCCTACACAGGCAACCTGGGGTGACAAGGTCTGTCATTTAGACCTCACTTAAGTGCCTGTAGGTGGATGTCACTGGTGAGACTGAGGTGATCCAAGTTTCTCCCAGTCTCTCCTGCCTTTCTCTTTGTTGGCACAACACTGTCTGTTATTCATGCCAGTGCTGGAGTGAGGAGCCTGGAGAGGGATCCCATGAGATAAAGTTATGCTATGACTCCTTCGTTTCTGGGCTGAACCAACCCTGATGTTGACATGAAATCCATGTGTATTCACTGTTCTGAGTTCTGCCTAATGTTGTTTCTTTTACAATCTTCCCTATAAGATTTTTCAACCTGTCAACTATTCCTGTCCTGTGGATAGGCACTGTGTCTGGCTTCAGTGTGCATATGCACAAGGGGATGGAGTTCAAACAGCTCTTTCTTGAAATTCTAGATGCCTTCCCAAGGCTGGTGAGAGCTGGCTCAGAAAATCAGTGAGGAGTGTGGTGCACATCTGTGGAGGGCAGAAAGCAGATTACTGAAGTACCTCAAGAGCAACAGCAGTGATAAAAAATACCCATCAGGTTTAATCATTAATGCAATTAGTTTTTTGTCAGTCTCAGCCCTTACTGCATCAATGAAAGTACATGCTTTCAAAGAGATCACTAGAAAAAAGCAAGGGTAATATGTATAGGATAATACTGACTGATCACTAATATACCTCTTGCAAAATAGCTGGTAGTTATTGCAGAAAATAACCATTTAAAAACAGAAACTAATGAAGAAAAACAGAAACTAACGAAGTGCAGTTTCCTATATCCTCCTGCTATCTCATGGAACTCCATAATAAGGAAACCTTTTCTCTTTTATCAGCCTACTTTTTTGGGGTTGGTACTTGAAATGTATCAGAAACCAAAAGTTCCACTTGTAAAACACTCGTTCAGTGTCTGATATCCTAGGTCTGAT